TCCTTGAAGATATAAACGCTGGTGCAGAGATTCAAGAAGTTCTGCCACTGTCTGTTCTATTCTGCCAGTACATGCAAGTCCTTGACAGGAATTACTTCAGGCATTATTGGTAAGTGAGGGAATGATGTTGCATAACAAGCAAGTTGTGCTGATTCTACGTGATTTTTCCCAGTTTGTTTATATTTTGAAGCAATCATAGGAAAACAGTCTCACAAGGAAAGAGAAAGACTGAACGATGTAGGAAGAACATAGAATGAAGCTGGAAACACACTCGAGTGCCTTTCTTTGATATGATCGTGGCCGATCGTAGCTCCCAGAACCACTAGCTTAACCTGCCTGGAGAAGCCGCGAGTGATCGATGAAGAGACTAAGAAAACATTTCTCCCTACACAGATGGCTGAAGAGGGCTGTGCCCTGGGCCAGGTTTAAATTTGATGAATATGTTCTCTGTGAGAGGTGAATATCCTCTGTGATCTACAGAAAGAAGCATGTGTCCAATTGGAAGGCTGTAAAGGATGGCTGACAGGTTAAGGGCAAAACTATCAACCACAAGGAGAATTCATCAATCTGTATATTATACACACACACACACACACACACACACACACGTATTTTGTTTCTGGTTACAAAATCCTGTAAGGTTTCAGCAGTGAGCCTCAATCCTGTTCTTTTTAGTGCATGATTCTGCAGAAATTTAGGTGCCTCAAATGTAGGTGCCTCAAATTTAGGTGCCTCAATCACCGTGGCAGAGCCAATTTTTAACTAAATTTCTTTGAACAAAACTAACAGTATCCTATTATCATTATTTATTTTACTTGAACGAAACGAAAGCAGTACTTTTGTGCACACTCACATAGACCTATCAATCCCCAAGAAAGTCATGGGGAACATGGCATCCTTTTGAGATAAAACTTGGGGAAGGATAAATTGAACATTGACAAGCACACAGGAACTATCACTGTCAAGTCCATCTTGATAAAAAGTCAACTTGACCACTACTGACTTTATAGACATTCAACATTCTCTGATGACATCTGCCAAAGAAGTGGTGATCCTCTCTGCAATGTCAGCTAATCACAAGAGAAGAGGAGTAAGACACCACCCAACAGCCACATGGAAAGTCAACCACGTAGCTGAAACTTAGATGGATTCAATCTTTCTAATGAGTAATGGTCTTCCTTCTCTGAAGAGGGACTCAGTCACATTTCCTTCTAGAGAGAATGGAGAGCCATCCCCACACATGGTGTTACCACCACTAGGCCCACATTCAAGAGAAGAGCAAACAAAGAGAAACATTTAATACAAGGGTAACCAAAGTGGATGGGTTCTTTATGTGCGTGCAATTCAGTCTTCTGTTCATGGATTCAGTCAACAAGCATTTGACTGTACAAAGACCTAGGGACACAGAGGTGGACAAGGGAAGCCAACTGGGCTCCATATTCCACTGATTATGTCTTCCTGACACCAAAACATCTTGGTGAATGAATAACTAGCATAGCGGGGTTGGATACTCTTATGCCTGCTGGAGTCAGATAAGTAAGAGTGAAGCCAAATGGATACCTGATAAAAGGGAATGACAGGACAATGATAAACTAGAGATTATATGTGCCATCTAAAGGTATTCAAATCCATTTTTCTTATCTACTAACAAGCAAGGCAAAATACATAGTTATCCTAGACCTGGCTCACAGACTGCCATTTTATGTCCCTGTGCTTAGCAGAGTGTAATCCATCCAGAGATAAGGATGTTCATTTTGTACCCATATACCTGACTCTAAGGAGATCAACCCACATTTAAAATTACCTTACAGTTACCTTGCAGATGGTTATAAGACAATAGACGATGGTGTGAACTCTGCTATAGGAGAAAGCAGAACAATCTATCAAGATCCAATATTTTGGAAACAGAATTTGAGTCTGTATTTCATTTTGATTGAAGAGTAGTGCATGGTCAAAGTTTTTGTTTTATGGCATCTCTAAAATCAGCACCCATTCCTTAAATAATGCTACATGAAGAACGTTTACTTCTTTACAATTGTCCAAAGCACCAAAGGGAAGAAGAAGAATAGCTACAATCCAAATGACATTTTCACCATAAAGGGTCAAGGATAATGTCAGTAGACACACAGGTGAAATACATTAATTACAAATGTAACAGTTCTTACTGAGTCCAATTCAAAATATGGTTTCTTGGTTAGAGGTTATAAAAGGCCATTTTCTATATGGCCTGGTATTTAATTAATGTAATACCATAATTGAGAGTATCAGTCTCTTTTTTTCCTTTCAAGGTCAATCAATGCACTGGATATTCCAACATCTGCCCTTAACTCAACATCCCATTTCTTATACACACAATCATTTTATAGTTAGAAATATATATACATATATGCCAATGTAAAATTAGCACTTCCTAATGGTTTTTAAAGGCAAATTTAAACAACAAATTAAATTCCTCACTATATGTTATGTAATGCAGACATGGGCTATAAAAATGTTGACACTGTTATATTCTGGTAATATAATTTAGCCCTTTTAGTAATGACTATGCAAATAATCTACTACAGGAAAACTATTTTACATCTAGGACAATTACCTACTATCACAGAAGTAATTATTATTATTCTCCTGTTTATTGAAGTTCAATAAGAACTCCTGAAGTGCTAAGGTAGTTCCAAGGCCGGTGTGAAAACTCGCCTTTTAACAGAATCACCTGGCAACTGTAACTACCAATGTGAAGAAGGGCAGTTTCAGATGAACATTAAACAAGAAATTATCCCCAGAAGGTTCATAAGTTCCAGACTTGAAATGGGGAAATACTGACAACTCCCAATATGTCTTCATAATGCCTTCAAGAGGCAACTCTTCACCCAGCCAAGAGCAGCACCTCTACGATGACTCAGTACCAATGGTTAGAAAAACTGATGAGTTTTGCCCCTGAACAATATCTACCTTGGCCAAGTCCTAATAGTGTTGGCTATACTTCCTGAAACTCAAACATCCTATTTAACTGTGTTTCAACTTCTGGCTTCTGAAATTGCTCCGCCATCTTGAAACAGACAGAAGTACTTGGGTGATGCATGGGTCACAATCTGCCAACGTTCTTCACCAGGTCTCTATCCAACTTCTCTACTAGCCCAGGGATGGGGAAGGCAGTAGTGGGGAGGAGAGGTCAACTTGCATCATTCCTTTTTTTTTTTTAATTTATTTATTTATACAAGAACGGGGTACAGGCCAGAGATGCGGGAGGGTGAGAGAATTCACCAGAGACAGAGCAGGGAGCAGAACAGGCAGACAGACCGAAAACACTGCTGAGGGGAGCAGCGGGCAAGACAGGAGAGGTCTGCCGCGCCATGTAGGTATCTCCCTGGCCGGAGGGGAATCAAACTCGCACTGCAGAGGCTGTGGACAGCTTCACAGCAATGCACCGACCCACTCCGCCACTGGGGAGGCCCAACTTGCACCATTCTTTCCAGAAGTGCTAAAATCACCCATCCATCCACCTGAGCCAGAAGGTGAGTGGTCCATGACTGGGCCTCACCAAGTGCATAATCATCCAAAAGAACCTGGTCTCACATAAAGCTGAGATGTTCTCCATTCTCTCGCATCAGTCAGCATGTCCACCATCTGAAAAAGCTTCCATCGACCAGAAGGCTCAGAGGGAAAATCTCAATGTGGGTGAATCACCCCTGTAGTCTCTTACTCATAAGTCTAACTCATTCCCCGGGGACATGCGTCTCAATTTTGGCCAAAGTCTTGAGAACCAAGGTCAGTGTGAAGAGATTGGTGTTCAGGTGAGTCCAAGACCAGGCTGACTTCTGACACTGGTTTCTCAGAGAGGCAGCAGGCCTCCTGGTCCGAGATGGTTGGTATTTTGGTTTCTTCATCCGGAACCTCCTCTTGGGGCCAACACCTCATCGCGGCATTCTCCACTGCGCACAGGGGTGCTTTGTCCACTTGTTGGAAATTCCAAAGCAGGAACGAGCGACCATCTTCAAACCTAGTAAAACCTCGATGGCAGAGGCCATGACTATTCTCGCAGGTTTCCAAGACGCCAGACTCATGTCCTCCTAGACCACTTTGGAAACGCTTGCAAAGTTGCTGCTGCTGGCCACTCCCCATGTGGGCCGGACACAGGTAGCCACTGGGGGTGAGGCACAGCGTTGGGCGCAGGCTCCATCCCGGCTCTTCAGGCAACGTGTTACCACCCACCTCCGACTTCCACCTTCCCCTCTTCCCCCCGAGGGTCCTCGGCAGCGCCCCCTTTCGCCCCCGGCGAGTGCGACAACCGCAAAGACCGCCCCACGCCCCAGCCAGGAGGGCTCCCGAGCCCGTGGCGGGGACAGCAGGTGGGGAGGGTTGGTGGGGGGTGGGGGGATCTGGGGGGCCGGGTAGCACGGGGGGCGCGTTTTGGCGGGTGTCTCCCCTCACCCCGACCCGGCCACCCCCTTCGCCTTCTCCCCTCCCCCCACCCCCTCAGGACCCCGCCTCGCCCGGGCCCCCAGGGCCGGGGAGCCGATCTCCCGGCCCGCCCCCTCCTCTCCCGCGCCCCCGGCCCAGCCCGGGCCGCGCACCCCCAGCCCCGCGCCCCCGCCGGCCGCCGCGCGGCCCCCCGCATTCCCGGCACGTCCGGCGCCGACTTTTACCTGTACTTTCTGCACTCGAGGCGGCTCGTCGGGCGAGAAACACCTCCCCGGGACCGCTACCTCCCCGCCCCGGCTCCGCCCGGCTTCCTCCTTCCCCTCCAAGGCCGCAAAGTAGATGGAGTAAGAGAGAGTGTGTGCGAGAGAAAGAGAAAGAGGAGCGGGCGCGGGCGCCGCGGGAGGGCGGGCGGCGGGCGGGAGGCGCGCCCGGCCCCCGCCGCCCTCCGGCCGCCGCGGCCGCCGCGGGCTCGGCAACTCCGGCTCGCGCCCGGCCCCGGCCCCGGCCCCGGCCCGGTCCCCCGGCCGCCCGCCGCCGCCGCCCGCGGGCTGGGGCCGGCCCGCGCCCCCGCGTCCCCGTACCTCGTAAAGGTCCCCAGAAGCCATGCCAGGCTGCGGAACTTGGCTCGCCGGGTGTGCGCGTCTGCTCGCTCGCGCCCTCCGTGCGTGTGCGCGAGGGGGCCAGGGTGCGCGTGTGTGTGCGCGCGTGTGTGTGCGAGTGTGTGTGGTGTGTTGAGTAAACTGTGTTTTTGCAGAATGACAGGCTTGGGGGCTGCCTATGCGCAGAATCAGAGCGGGCGGCGGCGGGGCTGGCGTAACCGGCAGCGGCGCGGCGGCACGAGCGCGGGCAGCAGCGACGGCCGCGCAGCGCGCCCGGGAGGCACCGACGCGGCCCGAGCGCCGCGGCCCCCGCGACCCGGCGACCCGGCGGCGGCGGCTGCAGCGGGCAACGGCTCGCCCCGGCGCCGCCTGCAGGAAGCCGCCCCGCGCCCCGCCGCCGGCCCGGACGCGGCTGCCACTGGGCGAGTCCCCGCCCCCCGGGAGCCCGGCCCGGCCCCCGGGGCGGGCGGGGGGGGGCGGGGGCGGCGGCCCGGCCGCGCCCCGGGGACCCGTCCCGGAGCCCGAGGGCGCGCCCGCCCGCCCCGCCGCCCCGGGCCGGCTCCTGAGGAGGGAGGGAGGGCCGGGGGGGCAGCCAGGTGCCCGCCACGCGCGCCCGGCCCGGGCTGCGAAGGGGCGGCCGCGGGCGCTGGTGGAGGTCTGAGGTGGCCGGGCGCTCAGAGGGCACCCCGGCTGGGCGCCGCGGGCCTGGGGGGGCTCGCCGCTTGCACCCCCTCAGGCACCCCTCAAGAGGGGAGTGGGTGCCGCCCCGGGAGACCTGGCCCCGCGGGGCTGCGCGGCCCCTCCCTGGCGGCCTAGCCCCTCCCTCCAGGCGGGCTCGTCAGAGGTGGAGGCCACAGGGAGGAAGGACGAAATGGCCCATCCTGAGGCGTTTGAGAGCCCGGGACAGCACCTGGCTGAACCCCGGAAACTCTTTGCGGCCAGGCGTGCTCTTCGCCCTACAACCCCCGGCCCCTCTCAGCCGTGCACTCACCCCACTATTCAACAAGCATTTCCCAAAGTCTGTCCAAAAGCATCGCGTCCCTGGCCAGGCTCAACTGGGAGCTTGCCCACAAAGGGCTTTGCGTCCAAAAGGAGAAGCTGGCTGCACTCGCTTGAGGAGGAGTCAGTCTTCAGTCTTCGACAAAAAGGAATTCCTACCTGGGGCCAGGTTCCAGAGCTGGAGGGAGCAGGGAAGCTCTCCAAAACTCAAATTCCTTCTGAAGTGCTCTCTTCTTACTAATATGGTGGCTAAATGGTCGCCCTTCTGTTGAAAGACTTCCCTCTATAATACTAACTCGGTGCCTGGGAAGGCAGGATGTTCTGGAATTGGAAGAAAGGTCTTCCTCATCCCAACCCAAAAATGCCCGGTTACTCAGTTTCTCCAGATTGATGTGGTCTTAACTCATCCGCCCTCCATCCTTTCCTATTTGTGACAACATGACTTTACCCATCTCAACCTTGCCTTCCTCATCTGGCGATCAACACCTGAGGTGGTGTGAGAATTGAATAAAGGAGCTCTGCATAGATGCAATGGCCTATCCCAGACAAACTTCGTAAAGGGTATTTGTGTCTGAATCTAGCCCGTGAACTACCATCGTGAAGAACTAAATAGCAGAGGAGAGTCAATGACAAGGAGGAAGAGTTAGTCCATCGGTTGTCAAACTTTTAAAAGTCATCACATTTTTCAATTAAAAAAAAAAACACATAACTTGGGCCACAAAATCTTCGTGCCTGGCTCATGTGAGGTGACATTAGTGTAGGTAAGCTGTTTCCTCTACCTAGAATGTCCTTCCACATTGAATTCATCTGGAATGCTCTTCCTCCTCCTGCAGGAGTTTATTTATCTTTGTATCGCAAGCATCTATCACTATTCCTGGCAGAGAGTAGGTATACAACGAATGTTTGTCAGACTACGCCAATACAACAGATTTTATACCAATCTCTAGTTCAAATCACATAATAAAATGGTCAGAGGGAAAAAAGGTTGAGGGTGTGGGAATGATAAATGAGAAAGTGTATTTGGTTTAGAAACTGGAAATTGTTCTAGCGGTTCTCTTCCCTTTTCATACAGATATTTTCCCACTGGCCATGGTTTGAAATAATAACATTAATAATAAGGAGTTCTCTATCTGTAGGTCACAAAACAAATTTTAATGATCCTTAATTTGTACTTGGGAATGAATGCACCACCATAGCATGAGGATGTAATTTGGAAGTAGAACACAAGAAGGGAACTGGGTTTGGAAATAAGACGCTCAGCCAAATTTGAATATATAATCAGTAGTTTTACAAAAACACCAAAAACTTGACTTGTGCTGGCCAAATACTCCCTGGGAATGTGAGCGGTTTGAAAAACCCTAGTCTAGACAACAATTGTTTACAGAATTCCCAGAAGGGGATATTCACTGTAGAGTGGCATGCTCTGGAAATAGTTTATGGAGGAGGTAGCATTGAAATGGATCTTAAAGACTCATTGAAAAGAAAGGACAGTGATTTAACTTGAGGAAAGAGATAAGGGTAGAAGTAGGCAGTGCTGTAATGAGAGGAGTGTGAGCAGACTGGAAAATTGACAGGGTGGAGGGAGGTGGTCCACAGGACATTGGAAAGTATGAATGTGGCCAGTTCTTGGGGAGTCTTGAACACCTAGCTAAGAAATTTACAATTTTGCAAGTCAGCAGTGGAATACCGAAGACTTTTAAATCCATTAAAAGCACGTGACAATCAAAAGTATGTGTTGGAAAACAAATTCTAAAAGAAGAGAAATGGACTGCAGAGGTTGAGTTGAGCAGAGAGACCAACTGCAGTGGTCCATGGTGATGGCAGTAGAAAGGGAGAAGAAAAATGAGGTTTGCAAGATGTTCAAAAGGAAGAAACCACTGACTGCAGATTTTCATTATGGCTACCCCACCTACTTCCATAAAGCATTTGATCCAACTCAACAGGATTGATGACTAACAGGATATGTATGTGTTTGGAACTGGAGAAGGGGGTGAGCAACTCGGGAAAGAAAGGAGGAAGGTTTTAAACTGAATGAGCTACCCATCGTCATACCATTATTTTATTCTGAGATTCCCTCCAGGTCACTGCTCGCTTCTGGAAAACCCAGATGCTTCCTAAGGAATGAAGGGACTGTTCTTCACCCTCTGTGAGAAGGTCAACCCAACCAATGGGCAGTGTTACTCTTGGTTCTTCAGATGAACCATTGCTCATAAGAATCCGATTGCTCATGGAGAATGGACGATACCTATTGCCTTCCACAAATTGGGACAGACTCTTCATACTAGTCATAACTCAAAAGCAGGTGATAGAAACTATGTTGAAACAGAGATAATTCATTGACTCACCTAGATTTTAAAAGAATGGAATTGTTCACATTGTTGGCTGGACTCAAGGTGTGGATGGATATAAAATTGCCTTGCTCTCTCTCTGCCTCTTTCCCTATGCTGGTGTCTTTCCTGTTGAAGGGTTTCCTTGAAGGGTTTCCTCCATGCAACTGAGCTCCGGCAAGCTCCCACCATCCCTTACTGTATGAAGTATTTAGACAGTATTTTTGAATCCCAGAGAAAGTCTGTGTGGCTGATGTAGATCATATGCCCTTGTTGGCCCGATTACTACAGTTGATCACTACTGGTGCTCTATGATTGGCCAGCTTAAGCCACATGCCTACCCATGGGGCAAGAAGTGTACAGTGACTGACAGCTTTACCAGAATCATCAGATTGAATTGGGGATGAGCAGAAGCCCAAAGAATAGGAAAGGGATACTGGGAAAATGCCTGGGTAAGAAGGGAACTTGGAAGGAAGGGTGGTGGCTGACTAGAACGTGACCTTAGATAGAGCAAGAACAGCCAGTTTAATTATCCAAGGTAAGAACAACTGCCCTGATGGTGGCATTAGAAAATACCAATATTCTCCTTCTGGAATTACTTGATACATGATCTTGATCTCCTGGGTAGTGTGGTGGTTGAACATGTGGACTCTAGAGTCGGATTGCCTGGGTTCCAGTTCTTCAATCATCACTACTGGTTATACATTATGAGGTTCTTTACTTAACCTCTCTGTCCTTCCATTTCCAGATGTCTGTTATTTACTACTGTACAACTAACTACCCCAAAATTCATGGCTTAAAGCAAAAAGCACTGCTTAAGCTGGCTTAAGCACAGTTTCTATGGGTTAGGGATTTAGCAGCAGCTTAGATGGGTGGTTCTGGCTAATAGTCCCTTATGGCGTTATAGTCAAAAAGTTAGCTAGGACTGCAGTTACCTGAAGACATGACTTTGGTTGGGGGATCCACCTCCAAGGTGGCACCCACTATGGCCGTTGGCCAGAGACCTTGGCTCCCAGCCATGTCAGCCTCCCAATAGAGTTGCTTGAGTGGCCGCACACCATTCCCAACTAGTTGCCCATCTAACAAACTGAGCTAAGCTATCAAAGCTTCAGCTTTTTCAGCATAGAGCAGCTAACTGAGCTGATGTCTTCATCCATGTTATGAAGGCTGTTTGATGCACAGATGGTTTGCAGCATGTCAGAGTGAATGACCAGCAATGTCACCTTACCCACACCTCTCACTTTAAAGACAAGAAAACTAAAACCCAGATTGGGTGATCCAACAAAGAAAGGAGGGCGTCATAATGCCTTTAATCATCAAGTCTTAGAAGCCAAACATTGCCACTTCCACCATATCCTGCTATTTATAACTGAGCCACTAAGCCTCGCCCACACTCAAAGAAAAGTGACTTAACCTCCACCTTCTGAAGGGAAGACTATGTTGGAATTTTTGAACATATTTTTAAAACACAACACCATTATCTGTATATTGAGGAGACAGAGAGTTGTTCTGAGAACTAGATGAGTTATTACCACTTTCAAACTTGTATGTGCCACTAATATCTTTGCTTGTTTAAGTTCCTTATAGAAAGACATTAAATCAAATAGTCTTTCAAACTTTTTCCAAGCCATGTAGAAACCCTTGCTACTGATTAAACTTTAATTTTAGCATCAATTTTAAAATAGTTTACTTCACAGAGGGTGCAAAGGGGGAAGGGAACCCTCTAGACTATGAATTATGGGCGCCTTGGTGGTGGGTGTTTGTCATGTGCTAACATACATCTGAAGAGGTGTGAACTATATCTTTAAATCATAACCAACATTACCGCAATAAAAAATAATACAATTAAAACTTTACTTCAATAATAATGGTAATTAAAAGTATACTTACTCAGTGTCTGCAATGTCCTAGGTATTATTCTTACTGAACCAAACAAATAATGCTCTGCCCTCAAGAAGTTTACAGTACAGTGGAGGAGACAGAGAATAAAACAAGAAAACAAATACACATATAATATTATTCCATGTACTGAGTAGTACTATGAAGAAAAATGAAGTCAAGTAATGAGAGAGAGAGGACCTGAGAAGGCACTGGTTTAAGTAAGGGGGTTAAACAAGACCTCATGAAGATTTGAGCAGAAACCTGAACAGAAATCAAATCAGGGTGTGGAGAATGTCGGAGAGAGAAAACAGCAAGGGCAAAGCTGGGCATGTTCAAGGTTCAGTGGTTAAGCTAAAGTGGCTGAAGCTGAATGAGCAAAAGGGAGAACAGACAGGGGTAAGTGTGAGAGGTGACCAAGGACTGGATCTATGTAGGGCTTCATAGGCCAGGGCAAGAACCGGGATGCCACTGCGCCAGTCTTTGGAGGGGTTGGTGGGGTGAAGGGAGGGGGGCTTTGAATAAAGGAATGATATGAGTGAGTACCACGTCTCCTGTGTAGACAATAAAATGAAGGGGATTGCCAAACACCATTATAAAAGTCCAAGTGTAAAATCCTCATGATACAGACTAAAAAAAGAAAGTGTCAACATAATGGAAGTGACTGAGTTGGGGAATACCAGGACTACTGAGGAGGAAAGTAGAAGCCTATGATTTTGGTCTCAGCCTCTAGAAGAATGGAGATGCTATTTGCAGAGATGGAGGAGACTGTGGGAAAGAATATTTAATAGGCAGTATTAGGGATGGGTGAAGGGGAAATAAATATTTCAGTTTTAGGACATGCTTATTTTCAAATGAGTATTGCACGTCTGAGTAGAGATGAAAAGGTACTGAATGCGAGTCAGGAACTAAGGCTGAACACTGAGTGGGAATGATCAGCCTGTTGGTTATAAAGAAAGGAACCATCACTGGTGGACTGCGCTCACATCTGGAATGAAACAGGCCTTAGGAAGGAACCCTAGAGCAGTTTAATATCTAGAGGTTAGGAAGTAGGTGAGGAGACAAGAAGAAGTCTGAGAAGGAGAGACTGAACCAGGAGGGGGTTATGTCCCAAATCCAAGTGAGAGCTAGAGGACTGGTCATTAAAAGTCAGTGGAAGACTGGGTAAGAAAAGGACTGAACATGGGATTTGGCAATATGGAGATCTTTGGTGGTGCTGGCAGGACCAGTTTTAGTGGTCTAGTGAAAGCTAGACCAAAGTGACTTAAAGAGAGCTTGGGCAGAGAAGTACAAATGGTGAGCACAGGTGAATCACTCAAGTTCTTTTGCTATAAAGAGCAGAGAAGCAGGTCAGGAGGTGGAGGGGGTGTGGGACACAGGAAGAGTTTTTAATGAAGAGGATATGACAGCATGTCTGTGCAGTGATAGGATGATGCAATAAAAAGGAGGAGATGCCTATGCAGTAGAGAAAAGAAAGAATTGCTGGAACAGAATCTTTGGAAAGGCCACTCGGGAGGGCCTGGATAAGAGCACAGAGTCTGTTTGCATTGCGTCGAATAGTGTTGTCCTAAATTTCCACACAGAACCCCAATATATGACTTTATTTGCAGATGTAACTAAGTAAGATGAAGTCATAAAGGATTAGGTCGGTTCTAATGCAGTAACTAGGATCCTTATAAGAAGAGACACAGTAGCCTAGGGAGAACAACTGGATGATGGAAACAGGGATTGGAGCAGTGTGTCCACAAGCCAAGGAATGCCAGGAAGTGCCAGCAATCCAGAGAGGTAGGAAGGAAGAATTCTACCCTAGAGCCATTAGAGGGATTGCAGCCTGGCCAACACCTTGGCTCCAGACTTTTAGCCCCCAGAATAGTAAGAGAATACAATCTTGTTTAAAGCTACCCAGTTTGGGGCCTCCCTGGTGGCACAGGTGGTTAAGTGCAGCACTGTGAAGCTGTCCGCCGCCTCTGCAGCACCGGTTAGATCCCAGCCGGCCGGCAAGAATCCCACATGGTGTGGCAGACCTCTCCTGTCTCACCCGCTGCTCCCTTCAGCAGTGTATTTCGTCAGTCTGCCTGTTCTGTTCCCTGCTCTGTCTCTGGTGAATCCTCTCACCCTTCCACGCATCTGGTCTGTACCCCAGATCTTGCATAAATAAATTAAAAAATCTTTTAAAAAAAAAAAACTACCCACTTTGTGATAAGATATTATGTCAGCCACAGGAAGCAAGCACAGTGTTTACTGGCAGAACAAAGAAGGCCAAGTACATGGCCATAAATGAAATCATTCACAGGTTTGGAACTCATATCTATTATTTCTATATTCTCCATGAAATAACAGGATGATCGTGAGGGAAAAAGAAAGGTACCAGAGAGGGAAATGTGATTTGCTTGAACAATACTGGTTTAGTCTGTTGTCAAAAAAAAAACCTTTAATAGCATCTCCTTTCTTTCCCAAGCATATCCAGATTTAGGCCCCACAAAAGTGTTGTTAAATGTTTGGGAAATATTTTAAAATAAACAGGTTGACTCAGAAAGAAGAGAGAATTATTGACAAGGAAAATACAATGGTTGGGGCCTCTTTGGTGGTGCAAGGGGTTAAGCAAAACACTATGAAGCAATGCACTATGAAGCGATCCGCAGCCTCTGTAGCACGAGTTCGATCCCCGGTCGGCCAGGGGAGCAACCCACATGGCGCGGCAGATTTCTCCTGACTCGCCCGCTGCTCCCCTCAGCAGTGTATTTCAGTCAGTCTGCCTGTTCTGTTCCCGGCTCTGTCTCTGGTGAATCCTCTCACCACCCCCCCCATCTCTGGCCTGTACCCCAGCTCTTGTATGCATAAATAAATAAATCTTAAAAAAAAATACAGTAGTGTTGCTGAAAAGTACAGGTGGCCAGATGGCTAATTGTAGTCATGAGTTTATCAGACCAGTCAGGCTAGTGAGAGTGGCTGTGATTTGTCCAAACGCATTCAGTTGTTCAGGGGCTGGGCATTGGGTTTAACCAGGGTGGGATTTACCATGCGAATTCAATGGAAGGAGAAAGGGGTCAGGGAATTGAGTGTATGTGAAGGAAGTGATTATAATGATAGGTTGATGGTTATCAAACCTAAAATGATAACATGGGGTCGGGTAGAGGTGGTACTAACAAGGTATTGGTCAGTGAAATGGACCTAAGGCTCTCCAGTGAGAAGGTCTACAGCAAATGATAAGGACTCTTGAAATGTCAGTAATGGCAGCTACCCTTCATTGGAATTCATGCTTTCAATATATGTATGCATCTTGTTTTCTTTCCCTCTTTCCTGCTTCCCCAATTCACACTGCAAGGACCTGCTGTTGTCCCAGCAGGACAGAGGTAGGATCAACGTTTAGAACTTTAAAGACTTTAAGAAGAGAGGACAAATCTGGCGTGAGGGCTGAGGGGTGGGAAAGACCACAGATAGTGAGCTGGGAGAAGGGCTGAGAAACAGGAGAGCTAAAAGAAAGGGCCTCTCAGAAACCCAAGAGGTATAATCTTTGAAAGGCCTTAATTGAAAGGAAAAGTAAAGAAATGTGGTAAGAGGTGAACTTGGCATTCCCTATAGGGATTGTAGGCAGAGCGCAATTGTTACATACATGTTGTATCATTCTGGTAAAAACCAGTGGCCCCATTTTATGAGACCCATTTTATGGATAAGGAGGAAAATCCATGCCCCAGGTACACTCCGGAAGAAGCAGGTAAATTCTGTTGCCTTAAGTTGCTCCAGACTCCCTTTGGGCTACGTGCTGGGGGAAAAGTTATTTTTTGCAGAGACCATCAAAGAGAGAAAAACCTAAGCCTTGACTTTGAGGCTTGACTAAAGTCCTGTGACACTGACATCTTGAGAGGAGGTGGGTTTGTTATAGAGCAACCCCGATATTAAACGGGTTCCTGGCTGTGGGTCCTCACCCGCGCGCTTTAAAGGGACTTATGAATACTCTACTACAGACACATGCAAAAGTGTTAATAAAAGGTTTATTTACAAGAGAAAAGGAAATAAGGAAAATGTACAACTCAGGGAGAAAATAGGGAAATAAAGTCTTTAATGCGTCCTACCCGATCCGACGACCTGGAAACCCCAAAGTCACTCTCAGAGCTAGACGGACGCCGCGAGCTGGCCGAGGGCCCCAAAATGGAGAGAGCCCCCAAAGCCCACGTGTCTGCCTTTTGTATCCACCTGGCTGCTTAACCCCACCCTCAGGTCCCAGCCACCTTCCCTTTGGTGGTGATGGGATTTGGAGTTCCCAGTGTCTTTGGCTTTGACCTGGGGTGGGGGTGGAGTCCACAAAGCCTGTATGGAATTTGCTTTGGGACTGCCTTTTCCCCCTAACAGTTTGATTGTGGAAAGCAGACATTATCAGTTTTTAGGGGTGTGTGTTGTAAAAAGAAGGAAGTTGGGCTTAAGTTCATGAACCTAATGTTACTTTGTATAGGAAGAGCAAAATATTACAATTTTTTTAAAGATTTATTTATTTATTTATACAAAAATTGGAGTACAGGCCAGATGCGCAGGAGGGTGAGAGGATTCACCAGAGACCGTGCTGAACAGAACAGGCAGACTGACAAAATACACTGCTGAGGGGAGCAGAGGGCGAGACAGGAGAGGTCTGCCATGCCATGTGGGATTCTCACCGGCTGGCCGGGATCGAACCAGCGCTGCAGAGGCTGCAGACAGCTTCACAGTGCGGTGCTCAACTGCCTGTGCCACCAGGGGAGGCCCAATTACAATTTTTTTTTTATTGGCAAATAGTAAATCATCGACATTAAGATTACTGCGAGACACAGGTGCCTAGGAGTGTGGCTTTAAGTGACTAAACTGCTCCCTATCAGGAGTTCTCAACTTTGTAATCTCAGGTCCCATGACACTCAACATGATTGGGAATTCCAAAGAGCTTTGTTTTATGTTAGGATATATTTAGTTGTATTCAGTGTACTCAAAATTAAGTTAAAAAGTAACACACAAGCTCACACTTTATACACCGTCAGAAGGATAAAGTTACCTAGAGCCATGTATATTCTAGAAAAGTCCTCTGTACACTGGTGAGAGAATGAGACTGAAAAAGGCAAAAATATCTTAGGGTTTCATTATTAAGATCATCATTTTGGCCCTATGGATACATGAAGTGGCCTCAGGAGCCCTAAGGTTTCCCAGGCCGCTCTTTAAGACAGGCAGTTCTACAAAATCATGTAAAAAAGACTGTCTTTGTTGTGAGCAAAGTTGCATCTCTGAAGGTTATACGAAGATGTTTATTTTCTAAATAGATTTATGCTGCATTGTTTCTACAATCTGGGAGATGAGTATGCATGTTCTCATTCAAGAAGTTCCTTCAAAGAATCCCAGGCACAGAGACTCAGACACTAAGAGTGTCCTTTATCACAAGCTTCCAGGAGAACCCTAAGGGAACAAAACTAGGGTGCACTGGAGAAGCCCTGCAGAAAATTCTCTGGCTTCTTTTCCTCTTCCTTCATCTCCTCCTTCTTCTTTTCTCCTTTTATTAACCTTTTTTAAAATGAAAAACCCCAAACTTATGCAACAGTAGAAAGAATAAAGCAGTGAGCCTGCATGTACCCATTACCCAGCTATAAAAACCACCAGTTCAAGGCCATTCTTATTTCATCTCTGCCGCCCATTCCTTCACCCCACACACTCGGTTCTCATGAAGCAACTCCCAGCCATCGCATCATTTCATCTGCAAACATGCCAATATAGATCTTGAAAAGACTGAGACTAGTCTCACAACACTGTCATACCCAAATTAACATAATTCCTTAATATCATCAAATATCCAGTTGATATCAATTTTTTCCATTGTCTCAGTGCAATTTCAGGAAGTACCTGTCACTTCCCACAGCTTTTTAAGAATAAATAAAATGCATGTGAAATATTTAATGCTAGCTACTACTAAAGTTTAAAATAAGAAATATAACTCTTCAGAGTTGTTCTGTTCCGTGCAATATTATGATAAAATGTATAAAGAAAAAACTTAGAAATAACAAAAAAAAAAGTTGAAATACAAACACCATGTGAAAAAAGACCCACAACCATTGTGACATTGTTTACAATAGCTAAGCTAAGTGTCATCTATGAATGAATGAATAAAATTCTGCATCTCATCAAAGAAGATATACAGATCATAAATAGACACATGAAAAGATGCTCTATTCACTTATCGCTAGGGAAATGCAAATCAAAACCTCAGTGAGATTTCACCTCATTCCAGTTAGAAAGGGTATTATGAAAAAGTAAAGAAATAAGAAAGTTGGCAAAGATGCGGAGAAAAAGAAGCCTCCTCCACTATTGGTAGATTGTAAAGTGGTGCAGCCATTATGGAAAACACTACAGAGATATCTTAAAAAATAAAAAATAGAATTAACTTATGATCCAGTAATTCTCTTTTGGGATTCACCCAAAGAATATGAAAGTACTATCTCAAAAAGATATATGTACCCCTGTGTTCATTGCAGCACTCTTCACAAAAGCCAAGATATGGAAACAACCCATATGCCCAATGATGGAGAATATGTAGTCACAATGAAAGAAGATGTAGTACATAGTCACAATGGAATACTACTCAGTTATAAAAAAGATGAAATCTTGCCATTTTCAACAACATGGATGGACCTTGAGGAGTTTATGCTAAGTGAAGTAAGTCAGAAGGAGAAATAAATACTGTATGATTTCAATCATTTGTGGAATATAAAGGAAACAAAAACAAACCTTTAGACTCCGACAACAGAATGGTGGTTTCCAGAAGGGAAGAAGTGAGC